TCGGCACTTGGTGGGTAATGTGATTAGCATTACGCTGGTCGGCTTTACTTCCCCAGGACTTACCCATTTTAGGCTTGGTCGACCTGAGACGCCTCATACTATGATACAAACCCACGCAGCCGGCAGTTAGTTTCGATCGCGGTACGTTGGAATTATGATTTACACTCGCAACGCCTAAGCCCCGGACACAGCTAATAATAATAATAACAAACCAAATAATAATAATGCATAGCTGGAGAAAAAAAAAAAGAAGGTGAATTTAGATTAAGAGAATAAAAAAGAAAATAACAAAGTAAAGGAAACAACAGCAACTGCAGGAATCACATACAAAAACAAGCACCGACAACAACGTCTTCTACCACAACAAGAAAAAGGGCAGCCACGGGCGTTAATGTCAAGAAAGAGCAAGAAGCAAAAAGAACACCCCTGACGTATATATTAAACTGACGAAATAAAATAACAGAGAAATTTTCTGTTATTAAACAGTTTTTCCTAGTTCTATTAAATCCGCGTGTCGAAAAAGAAAGAACAGTCCAAGAAAGAAAATAGAATTACGATGTAGTCAAATAAAAAAGCGACCAGGCTACAGGGATTGGATCAAATACTGCTATTCACAAAGAAAACCCAAGCAAAGTTTGTACTCTGTATCAATCCTGAGTTATCATATTTGAATAAAATCGATATTCGTCGCTTCTGGGTACCCGCAAATTAATTTCGCGTCCATTCTTGACTTCTCCCTGTGATTCCTTTTTCACCGCCGTCTATTCTTTCTCCGAGCTCAAAAGAATAAAAGTAACCTAATTTTCATTTGAAACCTTTGACAAAATCTCATTCGAGAAAGTCAGTCTGTTTTCTTCTTCCTTATATATATATATTTTGAGTTTCCATCCTTCTCACTCTTATACTTCGTATTCTCCTCCTCTTTCGTATTTCTCTGAATCCTTCACATAGTTCGGTTTAGTGGCTCTCGGTGACGAAAGCCGTGGGGTCGTTTCAATTAGTTTTTGACCGAGATTCCAGAGGATCGTCGCTGAAACTATGGAAATCGTTCTTTGTGTGGCGTTGGGCCGGCAGCTACCCGTTCTGCTGAGTCAGACAGCCAT